CCCAGCCAGTTCCTCTGCCATCGGATCAGCAGAGGTGGCAGCCTGGGTGGATGCGCCCTGGAGTGTTCAGGCGATGGGTCCGGGATGGGTTTCCGTGCCGTCAGCGGGCGGATGGGCGCCCACGGGAGGCACCGTGGGCTTTCCGAAGCCACGGCAGAGAAGAGCCGATCCCGGCTGTGTAGAACACATCTGGAGAAGTGGGTCGTTTTTTCTTGCCAGAGGCCTGGCGGAGGGCTTGAGGTGGGACCATCTTTTGAGCGTTCCTTTGCCCAAGATTGCCCAAGGTTGCCCGGAATCAAAACGGAAAGTAAGGGGTGATCCCAACCACAAGTGGGTGCAGCCGCCTTCTTGATTCTTTACATGGTTGCAGGCACCCGACCATTTAAATACCGATCGGTACCCTGCTCTTACGTACTGTATAACCCCATTGGCTCACCACGAACTTGGTGTTTCCAAACAAGCAAGGAGAAGCCGAGGTTCGGGCGGTGATGGGTTCCTTTTTTCCATTTCCCCCGTGTGGGGGAACCTCGATGCCTTTGGGGGTCCTTTCCGGAAAGGGGCCCGTTTTTGTGGAGTGTCAGCTCCTTGGCCGCCAGAAGCCCCGAAAAAAAAAAGCCGCAAGGAAGCCCAAGAGAGGAGGGCGCTGAGGAGAGAGCATGGAGGTGTTCGCGCCTTTTTCCGCGGCCCGACTTGGGTGAAGGAATCCCCTTCCAGGGGGGGGCCTTAGGCTAAGGCCAAGGAACTTGGTCAAGGACTCCCATTGGGGGGGGGTTTTGGGGGCGCGCTAAGGCTCAGGACCCCTGAGGAAGCCAACCAAGCACTGAGAGACTACACCAATGGGATGGGATGGAAGTTACATGGCCACTTGATCGGGGCTGTCACCATCCCTCTAGAAGCCTGGATCGCCAAGATGCGATCGCTTTTTTCAGTCGCTGTTGCGATCGGTTGTTTGGGATAAAGTTCATGGACAAGAAGCAGCAACTGGCGATCCAGGAGGGTTCAAATCCAAATCCAAGTTTCGGGAAGCCTCTCCTCTTCTCGCATCCCCCGCTTCCAGGAGTGGCAGCTCTTCCCGGACGTGGAGTGCAGCGGCTCGCCACTGACCGCACGCTTTGTGGGCGCCAGCTTCCAAGGCGAGACGGGGACGGACGGGTGCGGCCAGCGGGGGGGACTTGGGCTTAAGGCCCCTGGACAAGTTGCACCATACTTCTAGTGCTAATGTTGACCCCGGAGTAACAAACCGGTTTCTTAATAGGGGGGTGCTCACCTCCAATAGTGATGACTCTCCACTAAAACAGGGGCACCCCCTATTAATCAACCAGGGGTTTATTAATCCGGGGTGCCCATTACCTTCCATTTCCATTCTTTCCAGGGATTTCTTTCTAGAAAACCTCCGGAAACCCGGGGAAATGGATCCGGTTTTTCGGATTCAACCCCTAGAATACTGTGGATGGACGGAATCCATTTCGCACCAGATTGAAGCCCACGGGAAACCAGTGCTGGTTGGCATCTTCAGGGGAATCATCATTCCCGAGTTTCTTAGGTGGTGCAGGATTTCCTCCATCCACAGTATTTCCAGTACTGAGTGATCTCCTCTTAAACTTCGAGTAGAGTTCAAAGAGAACATAGCAACTATTCTTCGCGCAAATGGAAGTAAGTTGGGTTATGAATAAATTTTTTTAAATAAACAAATAGAAACCAGTTTAATGTTTTTTTTTTTTTTTTTTTTTTTTTTTTTTATTATTTTTTTTTTAATTTAAATAAACAAATAGAAACTATTTTAATGTGACTGGCTTGTGGTTCTGTGCGTGTCTAGGTGACTGACAAGAACCGTCCGTTTGTAGCTAAACATGTCAGCTGGGAAGCCACGGCAACCCTGCGCGGGGGATCTGAGGACAGCCCATTGGTTACCCCATTCGTATCTAGCAGCGGCGGTTTTCGCCGGGGCCACGGAAGCCAGGACCTCCCAGCGGATGGCCCAAATCCCAGATAAGTTGTAACCAGCCGCTTTCCTTTCGGCACTTGTGAGGTGGCAAAGCCAGGCTTACACAGAAACAGCTTCACGTGAGTGTTAGCCCAGGTTGGTCAATTCCAGCCCATTTGGGTTCATCCACCTTGACTTAGCGACTTACCCTAGCAATTGGCCATGAACTTATGATAGCAAACCACCTTCGGTCGGACATTCCCAAAAAATGGCTGTCCATTTCGGGTCAAAGCAAAACGTTTGACGTCCAGCAAGTCCTTTTCCAGGCTTGCACCCAGAAACCACCACAACCGCCCTTGGGGCTTCACACCCGAGAAATCCGTTTTGGGCCAAAACCCTAGAAGGCGCCCAGGTGAAGGTCCGTTGAGGTCCGACCAAACCCACCAAACCCACCAAACCCACCAAACCCACCAAACCCACCAAACCCACCAAACCCACCAAACCCACCAAACCCACCAAACCCACCAAACCCACCAAACCCACCAAACCCACCAAACCCACCAAACCCACCAAACCCACCAAACCCACCAAACCCACCCAGCGGTCCGTCGCGCCAAAAACCGCGCAGGCAACGGCAGCGCCTGGGACGGCGCCAACCCGCCGTCGCGGGCGCAGGATGGTCTCCTGGACACCGGCTGGGCGTCGTATTGCACAGGCCACGCGAGCGGTGGACAGGAGCATCAACGGTGGTTTTCGGTAAAGACCAGCGGGGCTATTCAGGGAATGACCGCTGACCCCTGTCAACCAGATCGCCAGTTGCGATCGCTTTTTTCCATGAGCTTTACCCCAAAAACCAGCAGCAGTGACTGAAGAAAGAGATCACAACTTGGCGATCTAGGTGGTTGTTTTTTGGTATATTCGGCTGCCATTGAGGTAATGACCCCTATCAACCCCCATTTGATGAATATGGGCAGCATGTTGACAGGTTTTGTTTTTGGTATTTTGGTTGGACGAAATCCGCTTCTCGCAAGACTTGGAACCCATGGAAAACCGTTTTTTAGTTGGTTTTTGGGTTTTTAGAGGGGAACCCAAGATCAGCTGGGGCCATTTAGGGAAGGACCCCGTATCAACCAACCCCAGTTGATTAATATGGGGGTGTCCAACTGGTTTTAGTGGGGATTCAGACCACTGTTAGAGGGGAACACCCCTATTAATGAACTTTACTAATATGGGGTCAACAATAAGCAGGAAGCCGGGGCTTATGCAGTTACATATGGCTGGCGATCCTTCTTTTTGGGTTTTTTGGTGCCCACCTTTTTTGATGGCTTCGAAGGGGCACCAAAAGGAAAGCCACCACTTGGCTACTTGGAGGGCCCGATCTTAGAAAAAGACACCCATATGTGTGCATGTATACTGTCTGAAGACATGCATACATGCACATACCCATATCTATGTCTGTATCCGTGTATATATATATATATATTCAGTATATGTATATATATATATATGTACACACACATACACACACATATATACATATATATATATGTATATATATATATATATTTGTGAGCAACATATGAGTGTTGTTGCTGTAAGGTGCAGTTTGCCGGTCAGTGTATCTGGAAAGCTAGGGTAGCTTGGGGGTTCCCAAAACTTGGCATGCGGTCACCCAGTACCAGAAGCGGACCACAGGTTTTGGGCGATGATTTCCAGTTGGGGAAATCCAGTGACTGCAGGGGAACACCCGCATGTTTTATCCCCGCTGCCCCCTACTCAAAATACCCGTTTTTTTCTGGATATTTTTTGGACACCATGGTTTTCCATGGTAAATACATCCTTTTTTAGTAGAGGGGGTACATTTCCAATCTCACAACGGGTGAGCAAAAACCTCCCCATAAGCCAGCTTCTGAGCTGGCTTACGATACCTGATGCTGGCTCCCCGAGTTCCGTTTCGAACTTCGTACTTTTTGGGGTTTTGGACCGTGTTAGTGGTACACAAACAGTTTGGGTACTTATGTTGGCCAGTCTGGAGCGGAAGTGAGGTTATTGTGGATGGGCGCGAAATCCGCTTCTCGCAGGCACTTTGAAGCCATGCTTGACACCATAATAACGTTTCTTGGTCTTTACAGGGAGAAATCGAATCAGACACTGGTGGTGCGAGACTCGCGGGATCTCGCGTAGGCATCCACAGCACTTGAAGGGGCAGTGTACCTAATAAGTCGACAAGAACCATGGTGACATGCCCCACAAACGCCATGTTGTTTTTTCGGTCTCCGTTCGGTGGGTTTTTTCTCCATGCGTACATGACCTTCGCAAAAGTCATGGTAAGTCATATGTCACCGTTCGGTGGATTTTGTTTTCTTACCCGAATCCCTCGCTTCCCGAGAAAAAGTCGTTCGGCGGGCCACAGGCGCAGACGTGTCCGGCTGTGAGGAGGGCACCTGGCTGGAGGCCCAGCTGCACACCGCCGCAGTTGTGCGGTGCATGAGGCGCGTTCGAAGGTCGCGCAATGCGGCGGGTGTGGTGGGCGGCAGGGTTGGAGTTCCTCAGGTTGGTAACATGACCCGTGCATCTTTTTTGATGTTATGTTTTGGTTTGTGACACCCGTGTAAGTTGAAGCGTTTTTTTTTTGGGGGGGGTCCCTCAAAAAACAAGCACGGAACGATTCCCATATGCGGATTGGCTAGTCCGGTCCTGTTCGGGGTCTCCATTTGCGCCATGGTCAGAAGAGCGGCTTCCTTTTCTTGGGGTTTACAGGGATGGTTATCCACTTGATTCCTCTGAAGGGAGCCAGGACCAGGACCATGGGCCCTGTAACGAGTTTTGACCACAGGCCGTACGTGCGGTTTCGCATTTTTAGGGTGCCCCCTTATTGGTGGTTAAAGGTGGGCGCCAACAGTAATCCAACTTCTTGCTGTTGCGCAATTTTGTAGATGGCAAGCTGAATCCAGTGGAATGCAAGCAGTCCGGTTTTCCTCTTCAGATTGAAGTTCTCGAACCGATGTATGGACCTCCACTTTGCATCCACCTATATTCGAAAGCGTCTACTCCACATGACACTCTTGGGTCAAACTTGGCATCCAAGACACGAGGAACCAAAAGGAACTACAAGGAACTACAAGGAACCACAAGGAACCACAAGGAACCACAAGGAACTAAAAGGGACCACAACAAACCACAAGGACTCACAGGAAACCACAAGGGAACCGCAAGGAACCACAAGAAACCACCAGGAACCACAAGGAGTCACAGGGAACCACAAGAAATCACAAGAAACCACAAGAAACCAAGGTAACCGCAAGGGAACCACAAAGGGAACCACAAAGGGAACCACGAGCCTCCCTCCCCCCCCTCCCCCCTCCCCCCCCTCCCTCCCCCACGCCCAAAGCGGCGTAGGCTACTGCAGGGCGACGCCTTCGCCCCAGCCGTGCAGCTGCAGGCGGGCAGCGGCCTCGCCTTCGCCAACGCCAGCGCCTCGGCCGAAACGGCGCGACGGTGTCGCGCGCGTGTCATGTGCCGGAAGGGGGGGGGTGGGGGGGTGGGGGGAGTGGGGTGGGGGGAGTGGGGTGGGGGGAGTGGGGTGGGGGGAGTGGGGTGGGGGGAGTGGGGTGGGGGGAGTGGGGTGGGGGGAGTGTGGGGTGGGGGGTTCAAGGGCCGTTTTTCTTTAGTTTTGGGCGGGGGGCTTGCCACAGGAAGTTGTTCCGGCAGCGGGGTGCTTGGGGCAGGATATGTTTGGTGTGTTTTCTCTTGTTTTTTTTTTTTTTTGCTCCGGGTGTTCTCAAACCGGGCGTTTTCGATGTTGGAGACAACAGATCGGTGTATAGTGCTAGTCTCTGAATGGCCCCCAGGGCAGTGGATGAAGGAACCTTCAACGATGCCTGCTGCATCCTCAGAAATAGACTCCTGAAATCCTTCTTTCCAGGAAGCCCTCCTCAGAAACCTCTTTGGTGGCTCTTCCTTTTCATTCTCTTCACTAGCAATACCCTTAGGGTTGGACATGGCCGGGTTTTTGAACAGAACGATGGAAAAGGAGAGACTGGAATCAGCCCCTAAGATGGTTCTTCAGGAACCCCCCCCCTCTCATGGACCCCCCCCGAAAAACAATACAACAACAGCCAATAGGCAAAACCGCTTGAAGCCCTGGAGCAACAAAGCAAGCAATCAACACCCTGAACAACCAACAAAAGCACGGGTGAACAAAACAAAGAATCAGCTAGAGCAAAGAGAAGACACAAGCCAAAAAGAAAGGACACATCAAGACCATTAAGAAACGGCCGACAAAACTAGCCCAGCCCCCAAAAAATCAGGGCTCCTTCCGTCCTTTTGCTTGGACGACAGACCGGCGCTCGATGCGCTCGATGCATACAGGGGGAATGGATTCGGTACGTCAGGTTAGTGGTGGAAAGAGTAAGCCTGGCTAAAGAACCCACTGAACGGAGACTTACAACTATGGTAAGTGGGTTATGACCATGTTGATTGCTCACTCAATTACTTACCCGACTTATAACTTTCCTTCTTTTTTTATCACCTTTCCTATGGCTTTTGTTTAATCTATCACCTTTCCATGGCCTTTGGTTATGACCATGGCTACCCACTCAAGTACTTCCCTGACCTATTTATCAGCTCACCCTGGGTTCTCGCATGGCTTCTCCCGCCGATGTGACGGATGGAAATCCGCTGGAGGCCTCTTCTACGAGCTGTCGCCCGGGAGCTGGCAGCACCTGGCGCGCTTCAGCGCGGCGGCTGCGGCGCCGGGGGAGTTGTGGCGGCTGGTGCCTGTAGGCCGGGTGGGGCCTGTGCGGGAGGGGGGGGGGGCTGTGCGGGAGGGGGTGTGGCTGGGGCGTTTGGGGCGTTTGGGGCGTTGGGGCGTTTGAGGCGTTTGGGGTTGGGTGGCTGGGGGGGTCGCCGGGGTTTGGGGGTTTGGGGAGGGCTATGGGGGGTTTCTGCACGCAAAACGGTGAGACGCAAAAACCGTGGAGAACCTTTTGCAGGCCCCCGAAGCAAAACGAGCCCATAGGGTGGGCTACACATCATCTTTAGACTGGAGAGCTTCCAATGCCACCAAGCTGGGCTCCGAGCCTTTGGCTAGGGCTGATTCACAAACTGAAAAGCGCCACTCATGAGGGAAAACCTCCGCTCGCAACATTGCCAGACTTAACTGCGATCTTTTTGGTCTCTAGACCCGTTTTGGGCTTCTCAGGGAGCTCTCCCTTTATACCGGCAAGTTTTTTTTTTGGTGGTCAGATCCGTGTGAAGAAGTCGAGGGAACCCCACCCTGCGGTGTTCCATCCGGGCCTGGCTTCGATCGGCGCGAGCCACTCGACTGGCTCGACTCAGGCGAGGCGCCGAGCGCTTGGCGCGTGGCGGAGCTGGAGATGTACACCAACGCGAGCTGCGGCGCGGCGGAAGGTTCTGGTCTTTGACCGGCGTAGCTTTTTTCCTCCAGCAAGGCATGCGAGCCTCTTTTTGTTGTGGTTCCCTTTCTTTCTTCTTTTTCTTTTTCTTTTTTCTCTCCCCCCCGCAGCAGGGAGTTGGGTTTTGCGGCACAACATGTAAGCCTGGGCATTGGCGGGCTGGCTTTTTTTTGGGGGGCGGGGGATCGCAAATGAGCTGGGGGTCATCTATTCTACCATAAAACAAAAACTGCAAACGAGCAAACGAGCGAACGACGGGCAAAAGGGCAAAGGAAAGGTCGTCTCTCTGCACCCAAAATCCGTAGAAGGTGTCCGTGCTTGGTGAGGACTTTTTGCTGAGTGAACACCGAATCGTTTCAGCGAACTAGATTTCCAGTCAGATGCAACCGAGCAGCCAAGCACCAGACAAAATCATGGAACATTTTGAGGGTTCCATTGTCAGGTCTTACGTTTCATGGCCGTCCCAACATGTATCACCGCGACGGCTCTACTTTAGTGCTTCCAGTCACCACTATAGTGGGTCACGAAGGGAAAGCGTGGAAATTCACCAGTGGGTCCATACTGTGGATGGACAAAATCCTGCACCACCTGAAAAGCATGTTTGAAACCATTGTTTGTTGGTAACTCCAGGGGAATCATCAAGACACCAGGGTTTCGGATTCCTGTGGTGCGATTTCTGGATTTCGCAACCATCCACAGTATGTCCCTAAGTGTCTGGCGTTGAAGGAAGCCTTTTCTCTGGAATCCTGACTTTCCCTGCGCCCCTGCACCCCTCACCCCCCTTCCACAGGCCATCACCATGTTTTCCTTAAACCAACTCCACTCCTCCACGTCGGGTTCGCGCCCGAGCTCCCCCCCGAGCTCCGCAAAGAGCGATCGATGCGATCGATTCGGTACGTCAGGCAAGTGGTGAGACTAAGCCTGGGGGGAAGTGACCCACACCGAGACTTATAACTTATAACCATGGTAAGTGGACATAGGTGTCCTTTTTTAGTTGGTTTGGTTAAAAAAATAGGGGGCAATTCCTGGTTTACCTGGTGGTTCAATCATCTACCAGGGCCATCTATTTTCCCAAAAGGACACCTATGTAAGTGGATATAACCATGGCTTTTGTGGATGTAAGTGGGTTAGAGCCATGGTCAGTGTCCACGTACTAAGTGCCCGATCGCCCCTTGAAGCAGCCGAGCGGCCGAGTCCCCAAGCCGCCGAGGCGAGTCGTCGTCCCAGATTCTGTCGACCGCCTTCGGTCCTGGTAGCCTGGTGACCTCTTCCGTCAGCTTGGCCGCGGACGGGCAAGTGGCCACCGAGTGGCAGGCAGGCCCCAGCCGTCAACCTGCGAAGAAAAGCGGTTGTTGGGCGGAGTTGGCTTCTTTTTGATTGTGTGTGTGTGGTTTTGGATTGGTTTGGTTGTTGTCGTGCTGCTTGGTTCGTCTAGTTTTTGGGTTGGGTTGGTCGCTCAACCGCTGGGCACTGATCCACTGGGAAAATTTGGCCGCCAAAACCCTCAACAAGCTTCATCCAAGATGACTTTTGTACATTGGCTGGTGTCGACCACGCTGGGAAATGATGCCCAGGCGCTGCAACCAACGCTGCTCCGTGCTGTTTGTGGGCTTTATTCATGTGTTTTTCCCCAACAGCTGAAAGCTTTCAGCCCAGATAGGCTCCGGGGTGGTCCGGGGCGGCCCTGAGGCAAGGCTCCACGAGGTTCCCGAGGGTTTTACCAGAGTTCCACCAGGGTTCCACAAGGGTTCCGCAAGGGTTTCACAATCAGTTCCACAAGAGCTATGGGAAAGGTTCCACATCGTAACAGCTAAAGATTGCACCGTCGGGCTCCGGTCGGGCACCGTCGGCCGTATCTTTGCGCATCCTAAGCAAAACCGCCGGTGCGCTATGATTGGTGCCTTGGATCGGTGGATTGTTTCCGGCGCTGCGTTAGGGCCTGAGCACAAAAAAAGAGCACCGGGTTCCTTTGGTTGCCTTTTTACCACCAAAACGGGTTCCCAAACACATTCAGTGGGTGCTGCCAAACCCCAACAAGTTGTTGCTCACATGCTGAGGGTTGGAGAAGGCTCCCAAAGGAAAGCTAGTGATCGACGACAGCGCCCAAGCCCAGAGCTCGGGCAATGGTATGGCAGGCGGCCGAGCCGAGATAAACTAAGAAAGAGTCGTCATCTTGTCAAAGCATAGCCCACAGATCCGACGGAACCCGATCTAATTTGTGGAGGTTCTCCCAAAACAAATCCCAGCCCTTTTCGATTTGTGACGTTTGGGAGAAAGCCCCCCCCCGTTTGTGTGGCGTCCGCCCGGAGGAGCTCGTTTGTCCTTAGCCCCTCAGGCAGCGGGCCCTACGGTGTCCAGCTGGCAGGGCCGCTATGAGGGCGACAGCTCTACCAGCCACAGGCGCACGTTTTGTTTCTTCTCGTTTTGTTTTGTCTCGCGGAGGAGCTTTTTAGCTACCCTTTCAGTTGCTTTTTTTTTAAAGAATCCTTTGCGAAGTTTCAAGGGATGGTATCACTACTGGAGATATGCTCACTTTTTCATTGGACTTGAGCAAGTGGCAAACGGAGGTACCCCTTGGCGGTTTGATTTCACATGATTCAGCCGCCCACTGGGCTAAGGAACGTTGAACACTTGGTGCTCAGCTTTCAGCTTTCGCACCTTAACTGGGACCGATGCAATGCAACCCGCTTTCAGGGTGTCAGCCCCCCCCCCTCCTCGGGCGCCCAACGCCCCTCCCCCACAAGCCTAAAGAACCCCTAAAGGTGAAAACCCTCAGGTTCCTGTGACTGCTGGATCCCTTGCAGCTGGACGTAACATGTGCGGCCACTTGCGGATGGAAGTCGAATCCACCAATTCAGCAATGGGAAGTGTTGGATGGCGGATCCGACAAGCATCCCCTCATGCATGTTTTCTTTAACTTGCTTTAACTTGAAAGTACTACGTACACCCTGGTGTACACCCTTATGTACACCCTTATGTGCCCTCTCCCCCCCCCAAACATATGGGAATTCTAAAAATTGTGGACCCCTTTTGGTTGGTATTTGAAGGGAAGCCAGTTGGTATTTGAAGAGGAGCCACAAGAAAACCAAGCATTTGTTGGGACCCCGTGGGGACCACAATTTTGAGAAAGGCATATATATATATATATATATGTACATCTGTACATACTGACAAAACCGAAGCTCGAATCGGCTTCGTCAGCCTGGGCTGGCCCTGGTTGGGGCTCAGCACCGGCCTCGCGGCTGAAGCGCCGCTGTGCCTACGCTTCTTGCAGGCGAAGAGCCGATCCTTCCATTTGCTGAAATGAAAAGAACGCGTTCGTGTTCTTATTTCCGTTTTTGGTTTAGGGAATCAGTTTCACCACTCAGTGAGTTTGTCATACGTTGTTCGTGTTCTTATTTCCTTTTTTGGTTTAGGGAATCACTTTCATCACTGGACGGAGTTTGTTTTTTCATACCTTTTTGTTCGGGGGGCGATTTCAGCAGTGCGGATCGCTGGTTGGACCGCTGGTTGGATCGGGCCGATCGGCTCGTTTGCAGACCTGTTGGGTGGAAACTTGGGACATGAGGGAACCAGCTCAAGAAGCCGAGGAAAAGCAGGGACGTTTTAAAGATCCCATGTCAAGTTGTCAAGTACTTAAAGGGGCAGATACTTCGTGAGTGGTTAGCAAGCCTGGTTATAACCCACTGAACGGAGACCTATGACCATGGCTTTTGTGGGCTATTTCACCATGGGTACAGCCGACTTACTTGATGTACCGAATCGATCGTCCGGAAAGCTCTGTGTAAGACTCCCCCCTAAAAGGGGACACCCAAGCTTCTAAGAGTTTCCCCACTATAGCTCACATCCTGAGTTCCGTTTCGGACTTCCACTTTTTCGGAAGACCATGCAGGAAGTAAATGAAAAGCTTGGACTTTTTTTGGTCAATCCACTGAGGAAGTGAGAGTAGGGACATACCAAGAGGGACTTAGAAAACGGGATGGGATTTTTGGGGGTACTTTGTGTAACGCATGTATAACTCCAAAAAGTCCATGTGGGGTACGCAAGTTGGCGTTTAAGGGAACTGGGGGTGGGGGGCGGGGTAGCTGTCATGGGATGTGCCACGCCCGCGAAAATGGCATTGACGGCTCGGAGTCTTTTGGGCGGAAGTGTACTTGAAGAAGAAGTTGGATTCTGAGGGTTCTTAACATAATTGCAGAAAACCACACCTCGAGACTTTCTGATTTTTGATTCTCTTGCCGTTTTTGTGGGCTGGTCTTTGGCAGGACCCCTGCAAGAGCTCCTTCGATTTGTTCAGTAGATTATGATCGCATTTTTCGAAAGGCTCTTTGAGAGTTTCGTGCAAGGGGAAGACAAAAGGTGCCGCTCGGTGTCTCGGGTGTTGGGGGACCCCCCCCCAACCCCAATCTTCTCCCCCAACCTTCCCCCCAAGCTTCCCCCCAACCCCCGACCTCAGGGCAACAGCAGCCAGAGCTCCGCCAACGACGCCGTGCTGCAGCGTTGGAACGGCACCGTATGGCTGGACTTCGAGGCCCTCGAGTTGTCGCCAGTCGGCGCCCGTCGGATAGAAGATGCCCCCAGCACCTCTCCGCGGCCTCTCCGCGGCCCAGCTTCTTTCAGTTGGTATGGTAGGGTATGATGGCAAACCTGAGCAACAACCAGGGGAGCGTTGCATGCCCCTTTTGGAAAGTCGATCGGTTCTTCAAGAACCTGCGGGTACTCCAAGGCACAAACGGGCCCTTCTTGCGGCATGGCCCCCTAAAAGCTGAGCACCTTCGATTTTCGTGGGTGGTTGGCATGGGGAACTGTCCGGCCTTGGGATATGGGAAATCCACCCGGAGCAAAATCCTCCAAACCAGGGCTCCAAACCACGCTTGCCGAAAATCGACCTTTGGCGCAACATGCAGATGACAGAGGGGGTGTTTGCCCCAAAAGTGAAGGATATACGGTATGGGTTAGGAAAGATAATGGCCTGGATCGCCAGTTGCCGCTTTTTTCCAACCCCAAAAACCGGCAACAGTGATTGAAAAAAGCAGCAACTTGGCTATCTAGGGGGATTCATTTTTCTCCTTCCTCCCGGAATTTTTGTACTGGATTTAACAACAACCAACCCAAGGCCACCAAGCAGGGCCAAAACCATCCCAGACGCACGAGTGGAGACATTGGGGACACCAACAAGGAAAGGTGAGGGTCCTCTCACGAAGGACCCTTCCTCATCCATCCTCCCTTTGTCTGGCACTTGGTAGGAAGCAGGGTTGTGGGATCAAGGGGTTTCTCCCCACTTCTGTGATACAAGGGAATCCCCCGGTATATGAAGAAAATAGTCTTTGGGAAGCCCTTTCTGTTGTATCACAGAAGTGGGTTCCATTCCCCACAGCCCTGGTATGAAGCATCGGGAGGGGGCAGGCTACATGTTTCCCAGGCGCCTCGCCCGATCCCGTCCTTCAGGACGGCCTCGGCCTCGCGCCCTACTTCCGGGACTTGGCGGAAGGCGCGGGCAGGTCGCTCGGGGGCCGAAACGTTTGGGGGGGACCCGAAACGTCGAAACCGGTGCCCATGGGTTCCCCTACTTAAAGACAAGGCCTTCTTTCGGGCATTTTTGTTTGCCCATGTTAGGGGTTGGCCCCCCTGCAAAGACCAGGACTTCTTTCGATGTTTTTTTGCAGGCAGAAAAAAGGACGCCGTTGCCGAGGGGGCAAGCAACCCCCCTTTGCGTTTTTTTGTGTGTTCTTCCGTGAGGGTCTTGTGAGCCATGCAGAGGAACTTTTTTGATTTCTCCCTGTGGGTTTTAAGGGGAATCTTCTCACTGCCTGTTTTTGCTGCGGGGGACTTAAGCCAATGGCAGAATGGAGGCTCAGGTTCTGAGATCAATCCCACCTTGCACAAGTTCGACGGCAGGTGACCCCGCCCTATTCCCCGAATGACGCAACACCTGGAGCCAGCATCGAATTCTGAGACCCACAGGTTGTCTCTTCCTTTTGGAGACACCAGGTGGGTGTGTCCTTTGTTAGGGGACCCAAAAAATAGTGGTTTTCTCTTGGTTTCCCTATGCATGCCACCATCAAGGGGAACCCTCATGAAAAAACATACCCAGACAATTGGCTTCTGTTTTAGCGTTGAGCGATCGAACTCCGCATGGCCGGCCCTCCTCGGTTTGCTCTCGAGGAAACCATCCACATGAAACCGAGCCTACCAGTTCTGTCACAGGGTGTAGAGGTCTACCTTTTTGGACCCGCTTACATCGGTTCGCATCGAGGATGGAAAAATGGTGGTTTCCCCAACCGGCGAGTGGTCGGTCATTAGGCATCTTACAATCTTTCTGGCTATTTGGTTGACTCTGCCATTTTCGGGGATTTTATTATTGGGCCCACAAATAAGTGGACACTTTTTGCCGAGGGGTCAACAGCAACCAAGAAGTGGAGAGCCCAGACAAGAAATAGAAAACAATCCCGGTGAAGGGTTAGTGCTCACCGGATCAGTTCAAAATAAACCTTCCAGTCACACCCCGCAGATGGTTCCTTGCGAACCTTCTCTTATGGATTTGGGAAAGCCGTTGCGCCAGTGTGGGATTTGGTCTGCTTCCTAAAGACCACATTTCAGAAAAACAAAAAAACAAGCAGGGATACCGGGGAAGGGATGCGGACATGTTTGTCCGTGTACTATTTAGACATGGTTTTCTTAACAGGCACTCCTTGCACATCTCCGCTTCCCCGTATCCCCGCTAAGTTGGTTCTCCCGCATCTTCATGAACTTCCATTTGCTTAACATTTTTTTATTTCCCCCTGCTGGTTTTCAAGGGGATGCGTCACTGGAAAACATGTTCCAATTTTTTCCAGAAAAACTTCAGCCTTAGGCAGAGCACCTGGAAGTGAAGAAAAAGCAATGGCGGTAATCGGAGGCCTGTGGTACAACCCCATCTTCTGGCTGCGCATGCCCTTGTTGGACCGCATGCAGTGGCGACTCCGAGCGCCCCTTGACGCCCGGGAAAGAGGACGATTTCGAGCGCGGGAGCGGGCGAGTTTGCGCGTTTTCTCCCGACCAAGAAAAAACACCTACCCCCAAAAGCTCCGGAAGTTTGGAAGACCATTGCATTTTTTCCGGCTGGCAGTTTTTGTCAGGGCAAATGCCAAACCATTTTTAGTAGAGGGTTGACATCATCCCTGGGAAAAAACAACAAGTATTTGGAGTAGGGGGTAGGAAGACCCGCGTGCAAAGCAGGCGGATCACTGGATCTGCCCTGAAGTTGGATGATTTTCGTGGTTCTAAACCCGGAATGCAGGCAGATGAAAAAAACGGCACGTTGGCTCTGGCACCGGAAAGCCAGCTTTCGGTCCGCTATTGCTCAATGTTTTTTCCCCTAGGCAGCTAGCAAACAACCAGCCAACCAGCAAAAGACCAGCAAAGCCAGCACACAACCAGAAAACAACCAGCCAACAACCAGCCAAAGCAACCGGCCTATGGGGTATGTCTCCAAAAAAGGGGCTTTCACAAAATGGTTGGCTTCTCTCTTTGTGTCCCTTTAAAGCCGACCTTTCACGGCACACGGTCTGACAGGTCAAAGTCGGCCATCCATTTGGGCGGAGATTTCACAGGTGCCGCTTGCGGTAGGCATCACACCTTTGAGTTGCCCCAAGATGTTGGGGGTGAGTTTGAGGGTCCAGTTTTGTGGTTTTGCCCAGGTCGGACATCATGCTGAACCACTGGGCGGTCAAGGCGCTCCCCTCGCACCGCAGGGTTTTCCGCAAGTTTGGTAGCCTGGCCCTTTGGACATCTGGGGTCTCCTCCAAACTACTGGTTGTTTTAAAGGCAGACAAAATCCGACAGAATCTGAAAGAAAAACATCTGGCAGATGGCGAAGAAATTGGCGGCGTCCTTGAGGTCGTGAGGTGTTTCCCCCTTTGAAACCGTGAGAAAGGGCACGCCGGAAGACAGGTGGTTCCCTGCTTTCTTTCTGGCCCAAGGGAGCAGAGGCATTGCTGAATGGGCTGTGGCGTGGTCGGTGTTTGGATGGTTTTCTGGGAGCCAACCACGTCTTTTTTTTCTTCCCCAACAGCTGACAGCTTTGGGGCCTCAGCCCAGATAGGCTCCGGGGTGGTTCGGGCGGCCCTGAGGTAAGGTTCCACGAGGGTTCCACCAGGGTTCCACCAGGGTCCCACGAGGGTTCCACGAGGGTTGCACGAGGTTCTGCGAGGGCTGTTGGGTGGTGCAAGCACTAAAAAACCAGAGCTTATTTTTTTTGTGGGGGGTCCCTAAATAAAACCGACGCCCAATGGCAAGACCGAAGGAGCTGCACTTTTACGAGTACATCGACTGCTACAACGAGGCCGGATCCAAGGGTCGGATCGGAGAAAGCTGAAAATTCGGTGCGCACACCAGCTGAAACGGGGGGTGTCAAACGGACGGTGACCCACGTCCAACTGTGGAATCTGACCCTCGCGGGATGGCTGGGGAATCGCATATTTTCCCTACAAGAAGCGTGCCGCTCGAGGTTCCACGGCCACCCGGCTTTGCAGGAGGCGCCTTTTTGAGTTGCCAACGCCAGCAAGGGGAAGCCGACTCCCGGTCGACTCAAGACATGGAAAGCGCTCTCCGTTCAGCGGGTTAGAACCAGGCTTACTCACCACTTTCCTGACGTACCAAATCGATGGCCCCTTTAAGAATCCTCGCGTGTCCGGGCAAGGTGTGATGGTTTGTGCCATAAGGAGGGCTTCCTTGGCCCAGTTTTGAATTTTGGCCCACTCCGAAAGCTGCGGACGCACAACAAACATGACTGCTGGGCAGCCGGAAATGGGGCCCTTTGCGGGAAACCCCAAGAAGGCAGCACAAGATCTTGATCCGATGTCCGTCTGACTTTTCAGATAGACCCAAATCCACCACTGATCACACCAGCGGGAAAACTTTTCCCATGTGAGAAGCATCGACTCTTTTCCAATGGTTCTCCCTGTTGTTAAACCCCCCCCCATGCAGAGGCCGTGAAACTCAGGGAAGGTCTAGGACAGCTTCAAAGTAGGTTTGAGGCAAACAAGCATGGCATTGGCACGGTGTTGAGGTGATGCTCTCCTTGTGTCATCTTGGGCCCGAGTTTTGTTGCCGGCCCGGTTTCTTTTTCTTTTTTTGGAGCCGTCGAGGTGACCGGGCTCCAGCTGGCTGCCGGGCAGGATCCCTTCGTGCTGCGGCCTCGGGTTTCGGGTTTCGCACGCGGAACGGCTCTGTTTTTTTATGTGCGGCGGGGGGTGGGGGGGGGGGGCGGGGGGGAGGGTGTTCATTCGTTTGGACATGCGGGCCGTTGCTAAATGAAGGCAGGCTTGGCCCTTGGGTTAAAGTTAGTTTTTAGGTTTGGTTGGTTCTGCTAATGGTTTGTTGCCGGGGGAGGGGGGGCATCGTATCTTGGGGCCGTGTTCAAAGTAAGCTTCCTTTGGGGTGATGTCCAATAAAGTTTGTTGTTTTATTTTTAAGACTATTTCATCAAAGCCCCTGGTGTGGAGCAAGGACTCCATTGATAGGGAGGTATGGGGACATACCGTGGATGGTTGCGAAATCCAGAAATCGCACCACTTGGAAACCATGTTTGAAACCACTGTTGGTTGGTATTTACAGGGGAATCATCATGCCAGGGTTGCTTAGGTGGTGCAGGATTTCGTCCATCCACAGTATGGGGACCCTGTAGAGGTTGTCGTTTTTTATTTGCGAGTCTCGTTTTTCGACGGGTTTAAAAGGAAGCCAACAGGAACACCCCGCCAAACATTTTGCGGGATCCCCTAGGAGGTTCACCAGGGTTTGAACTGCCATTCTCTGGAGGTGGGTGCTTCTTGTTTGAGAGGCCACCCTTCTTCGGGGAAAGCGAGAACACATCATACACTTTTTTGTTTTATTATATGCATATATATATAAATAATTAAACAAATCAATTAAATAAATAAATACATAATAAATCAAAATAGCTAAATAAATAAATGAGACCTCCTTTCAATCCAAAACAACAAAATTCCGATCTCCACCTCCACCCCCAGCTTCGGACGGTGGAAGGCGGGTCAAAAGCTTTTTTTTCTTTCCCCAGGCCCTCGCGCCCCGCCAGCTGGGCCTTTGATCGGGACATGCTCACGGACTGGTGGTCGGCCCGGGCCTCTCCTCGATTTTTTTTGGATTCCTCAAGTTTTCCGCGAGGGGCTGCCGCGTTCGTTTTTCCCAGTGGCGCAAATGCAGAAAGAGTTCTTCAAATACGCCTCTGTTGGATCTTTGAAGGGGACGTATCCTTGGGGGTATATATATATATATATAGGGGTGAGTTTGGGTAACAATAGATGGGTTCCACTGGTTTAGATGGGGTTTATTCTGTTTACCAGGGCCATCTATTTTTTCCAAAGGGCCACCGAAGTTTTTTCTCCGCTGGCTCAAATGCGGAATTCTTCCAAAGAAGCCTGTTGGATTTTTGAAGGGGACGTATCACTACGGGATATATATGTACACACATATATATATATATATGCACATATATTTATGTGTATGTATGTATATATATATATATGTATATACATAAGTTTTCTTTCCACACGATAAAAGCAAACGGAGGCAACTGTGACAGGATACGGTCCCTTCGCCCAACCTGGATGTCCTTCATTTCCATTTCCTTTGCCCTTTGCAGCCGTTGAAGGGGGTCGGACAAGTCTGGGCAAGCAGATTCCCTAGTTGGTTCACCATTCCGAACCCAGGGATCCTAGAAACCTCCAGAAACCCAGGGACAACAGCCGTCCTTTCAGAAGAACGATGGCTTTGACAAGTTGCAAAGAATGGGGGAATCACCCCCTGGACTGCTTGGTTCCAGGCAGGTCCAAAGAGCACTTAGGACGGGCTAAGCCAGCCTTGCAGAATCAAAGCCACCGTGCGAATCACCAGAGGGCCTCTCAAGCTTCAGATGAGAACAAACCCGCTCAACCGATGGGGTGCTTCCAGTTGCCTTGAAATGTAGTATGGTAGGTAACCAGGGGCAAATCATCATGAACCTCGAGGTAAGGAAGCCGAAGGGTTATCTACTATAATTCTAGGAGACGCTTCCCCATTCTTTCCAGGGATCCTTCTTTCCAACCATCAGCACCCCAGGGGAAACAGATCCGGTTTTTGAAAAGAACGGTTGAAAAGAATGGACAAGGAATCACCCCCTGGAAGAATCGCGAAACGCCTGGAAGCACTGGGCTACGTTTTCAAAAACCATCTTGCCCAGGGTTGTGGGATCAAGGGGTTTATCCCCACGTCTGTGATACAAGGGAATCCCCTCTTTGTATGGCTGGTTAGTCTTCGGGAGGCCCTGTTGGTTGTATCACAGAAGTGGTCATTTCACACAGCTCTGACCTTGCCCCTGTCAGGTCCAGATGGCGACGTCTTTTTTTCCGGGCCCCTCCCCCCTCCTCTCCTCGCCTTGGGGTTTGCAGTCTTCAATAAGAGGGGCAATGGTTTTCCTTTTGCCTCAGAAACGTATGGCGCAACGGCTTTCCTTTTGGTTGCTTTTGGGGCAAACCCAAAAATAGGGGTACCAACTCTAAAAAAGACAGGCCCATTTTGCAATCGTTTGCCATCTGCTCGTTGGTCGGTGGTAAACAAATGGCCTTGTCTCCAAATAGGGGAACCACAACATGTTTTTTGGTTTCCCGCTTCTTTCTCTTGAGAACAACTTCCCCCCAAAAAGGACTGTCCAAAAACACACCAAAAAATCCACGAGCCTGCTACGGCCTGGCTCTCGCTTCGAACTCGGCCCGAGCCGAGCGTGCTCGGCTTCGGCTTCGAGCGCCAGGCCTGTTCCGAGTGCCTCGCCGGTGCGGCGTGGCTGGGAGTAGCCCTGGGGCCAAGGGCGCATCAAGCCTGAGGGACTTACCATCTGGACCTTTCCACTGCTCATGTGGGTGTCAACCTGGCTTTTTTTTTGGGGCCTCAGCCACCCCTTTTTTGGTTGGGAGGGTTCCCCCAAAATAAGCTACAGAAGAAAAATAGGGTACCAACTTATTCCAATCTCTCTACTGGAGGACCTAGTTACCACCTGGACCTGTCTACTGCTCATCGAAAAGCGGGCTACGGGGATGCACCAGCCTTGCAGAGTTTGGGCCCACAACCCATTTGACGCTCCTGGCGGGGTTTTGTCTTGCGTTCCGTTTGCTTGGTGGTCCCGCGTGAGGGCACCTCATAGCGCTCCAAGTCAGAGGGAGGAGAAGGGCTGCACAGCAAGTTCTTTCTCAAAGAGGCGGCATGCCACCTGGAAACGGGGGCACTATTCGCGGTTGCCTGTTTTTTTTTTTGTTTTTTTTTTTGAGGGGGGGCAGAAAATGCTGGGTTTCCTCTAGCTAAGAATGGTTTTTTTCGAGTGTTACAAAAAATGCGCCCGCCATTCTGAGAAACACATCTGACAAATTGGGAATCCCAACTGAAAAGCATCTTTTGTTTTCCTTGGTGCTCAGGGAACCTTCCAGCTCTTGGGAAGGAACAGTTTGGCGCCAGTTGGATGGTTGGACCGTCACCCATCTCCCCCACAGCCGCAGCTTTTTGGGTCTTTTGGTTTGCCCCGGCGACGGATCTTCCGGTCCGAGACGGATCTTTTTACCTCCAGCCCGGTGAGCGCCTCTCCTTAGAATAATGTTCTATCCTGGTCCGAGACGGATCTTCCGGCGTGGGTCCTTCTTTCTATGTCTCCCCGTCTCCGCACCGACCGCCGCTAACCGATCGCCTGGCTGAGGCGCTGCCGGCGCCGCAGAACGTGAGGTGCTTCCAGCTGCCCGGGGCCCCGGGCCAGCGCTGAGCGAGGCCACCTTGGCGGTTCTTAGGGGGGGGGGGTTCAGTGCTTGTTTTGTTTTGTTTTTTCATTTTTTTATTTTTATTTTTCTTATCCTGTATTAAGCACGGTCCATGGGCGGCTCCTGGCTGTTGAGGGGTGGCTTCCTTCATTCGGGAAGGTTCCATATTTCCATCTCTCATTCCTACCTCTCGCACCAGGCTTCAACTTGCCTTGCCGTCACACGGCCGCTTTTGCGGGGCGTTTTTTCTTTTCTTTTCTTCTTGCTCTCTCGAGGAGCCATCTCGATCCATGTATCCCAGAAACCCCATCTGAAAAACAGATTGCGAGCACGTGAGGTGTTAAAAAAAAGGGCGACTTACTCTGTCGGTTTTACCAGGGATCACATTGGGTCCTTTTGGACGGCTTTGTGGTCTTTAGGGGGCATATTTTGAAGCGCAACTCGAATGAATTTTTCTTGCAAATGCTTTTTCTTCTTTGGGTCGGTGGCTGTTACTTGGTGGCTCCCAGCCATCCCCTTAGCTTTTTAGCTTTTTCGTGTTTAGTGGTAGTTTCCATTTACCCCACTAAAAGTTAGTCACTCTTAGCAGGGGAACTGAGGGCAGCCCAGGTTATACCACCCGGAAAAGCCCCCAAGCAAGCACTCGGGGTGTGAACGGGGCCCCGGCAAGTTTAAGCCCGAGGTTTCAGTCGAGCATGCCGCCCAACAGCGTGACCACTCCCTGGCCGGGCGCCCAGGAGATGAAGTTTACGGTCGGAAAGCCCAGGAGAAAACCCGCCAAGCTCAGTTTCTGTGATACCAGAAAAGCCCCAAAGTAGTCACGGGAAATAGCGGATTCCTGTCTAATGCTTTCTAATCCTTATCCATGGTTGTTGTTGGGAAACATTTTACATCTTGCCTCTTGTGGTTTAGTGGGAAATCTCCACTTAACTGCTAACATTTGAAATTTTGCTCCCCTTCCAACGTCAACAAAGAAAAACCGCCGAGCGCAGCTTTTTGTTTTGTTCTTAAGCAAACCGGTTCGATTGCACATCAGCGTCTTGCCGAGATTCTTCCCTTCAAGTACGAGTAAAAAATCCTTTGAGCGCATCGCTTGCCCCAGTCTCCAAAAAATCGCCTCTGTCAACCACTTCGTTGGTCTTAATGAATCCATGTTGCCGCTGCAATACATTGGATAAATACTGCTCGACTGGCAGACCTTTTTCTTTAGCAGCCTCGCTTAGTTTTTTCTTTTGAATAGAGGCCGAGCTTCCTTTTGTTTTCACGGGGACACCGCCGAGTCTTTTTTGCCCAAAGGCATCGCGAAGGGTTCTTCCGCGCGGAACCCTCGGACCAACTTGCATAGAGTCACTTCCGCAGAGTCAAATACATAGAGCCAAGTGCATGGAGCCAAGTGCATAGAACCAAGTGCATAGAGCCAAGTGCATAGAGCCAAGTGCATAGAGCCAAGTGCAAATAGAGCCAAGTGCATAGAGCCGAGTGCACAGTTCCGAGTGCACAGAGCCGCGGACGAACCCTCTGCGGGGATCGGCGTGGTCGAGGTACAACAACTCGCGGTTTTTTGCGATTTCTGTCTGCCCGCGCGACCCTCTGCGGGGATTGGCGTGGTCGAGGTGCAAAAACTCGTTTTTTTGCGATTCTTGCGGTGTGCGGACGAACCCTCCGCGGGGATCGGCGTGGTCGAGGTGCGAAAACTCGAGGTTTTTTGTTTTTTTGGGGTGCGCGGATGAAACCGTGCGGGGATCGTGCGTGTCGATGTGGCGCCGTGCGGATTCGTTTTAGTCGTGCGTGTCGAAGCGCTCTCGCGGTGGAAAATCGCAACCCTGAAGCGCAGATGTATAGTGCGCGGAGCACCTCCGCAGCTCAGCTCGGGCTGAGCGTCTTGCGCGCAGATACAGGCGCCGAGCGACTTGCGGAGAGAAACTTGCAGAACGTGCACAGAACAGCTTGAAGACAGATGTCGGGCCACTTGCGCAGCAACTTGCGCGCAGCAGCCTGGAACAATGCAGCTTGCGCAGACACTGCCATGTTTCCTCGTAGGACGATGGGATGGAGCTCTCATGTGACCATACACATTGAGCATCGCCGCGTGCAGACACGCTCGCCGCATCGATGTGAAAAGGTGTCTCCGCGGCTGGAAGAGCGCGGCCATCTATGCGGATGAGGGTTCCACTTTTTTGAGCCCCAAGATGTTAACTTGCACGAGCTCAGGCCTTTTTTGCAATCCACAGCAAGAAGCGTTCCACGCTTCCCAAAACGGCTGTGAGTGCAAGTTGCAGGAACGAAGCGCTCTCGATCAAACTGGGGCATGAAAACGGCGGCTCACTTGGGGCAATAGCAGCCCCCAAGTGAGCTGTCGTGTTCATGCCCCAGTTTGATCAAGCACGTTTCGTTTCTGCAACCTGTACTCACAACCGTTGTTGGAAGCCAGGAACGCATCTTGCTGTGACAAGGCCTTGCAACAAGGTCGGGAACCGAGCTCGACTTTCCAAACCCAGGGTTGAAATTGAACAAAGTTGGGCTAACGTCAGTTTCTGCGCACCCGTAGCGCCATATGAAGAAACTCGGTTCATTTGTTGAGACCCCGTAAATTGGAAGAGTTCTGAGAATAGGGGGGGCATGAGTGTGCCGCGTTTGGTGCAAACAGTCCCAGTCTCCAATCTCATCACCGAGATGGGTGATAGGAGGCAGCAGCAAACATGTCAAGACTCACGACTCCTCGGGTTTTTTTCTTCGAACTGAGTCCGCTAAGTTCCAACCAATTTCAAACTTCGACAGTTTCTCCAAACTCGGGCTGTTGCGATTGGACTTGGAGAATCTCCGAACTATGGCCCGTTGTCTCCGAACTCAGTGAGGGTTTGGAGATACTCCAAACTCAGGCTCATAATCTCCAAACTCTAGCCTCTAGCCAATTTCTCCCAACTCAACCTGAGTTTGGGGAAACTCAGGCTCGAGTTTGAAGATTTCCAAATTCGGGTCCAAGTTGCCAAACCCAGGCCCGTTTTCCCCCAACTCAAGCCCATTGGGGCCTGCGTTCACTCTTTAAAGTCAGGCTCCTTTTCTCCAAGTTCAGCCTTGTTTTCTCTAACTCAGCCCGTTTTCTCCACAGCGTGGACGACTTTGCAGATTCTCTAAACTGAGGCATGTGTTCTCCAACAACTCAGGCCCGAGTTTCGAGAATCTCCAAGCGCGCCGCCCGAGGTTGGAGAAAACGGACCTGAGGTTTGAGATTCTCCAAACTCGAACTGAGTATCGAATTTTGGCAAACAACTCGGGCCCGTTTTCTCCAAACTCGGGGTGAGTTTGGAGATTCTCCGAATTCGGGCCCGTTTTCTCCAAAATCGGGGTGAGTTTGGAGATTCTCCGAACTCGGGCCTGTTTCCTCAAAACTCGGGCTGAGTTTGCGGATTCTTCAAAGTCAGGCTTGTTTTCTGCAAACTCAGGTTCAGTTTAGAAGTTCTCCAACCTCGGGCCCTGTTCCTCCATTTTCCAAACTCGGAGAGCTTCTTGGCTTCGTACAAAGAGTTTGGACTAACCAGGACTGACAAGTCTTCTTCAAACTCAGGCCCATTTTCTGCAAACTGGGGCCTGCGTCGGCAAATCTCGAAACTCAGGCTGAGTTCAGGCTGAGTAAAGGCCAACTTTAGGGACCCCCAAATTGATTTCTCAGGGCTGAGTTAGGAGAAAGCGAGCTTGAGTTTGGAGAGCTTGGAACATCTCCAAGCTCAGGCTAAGACGTGGAGAAAAGCAAGCCTAAAATTGGGGCACATTCCAAACTCATCCATATTTTTGGAAACCTGAAGGCGAACATACAAGCGAGCATTATCCTCAGAAAGCTGCAACTCCCCAAGGAAAAGGGCTGCGCCATCGTGATGTAGTCACTTGCAGTACCCTATTCCGGAACACTGCTCGGATCAAACGGGAGCAGCGCTTCCCGAGACAAGCTTGCTAAGGTATGTCCGCATGTTTTGACAGAGATTTGGAGTCCTTGTTTGGCGTGTGTTTTGCTGGCACAAGGCTTGATTGGCCCGGATAGCATTGAAACGGCATGCTGTGGCATGGTCCAAGCAGTCTTGGCGTGTGGGGATACCGGTTCAAAACCTTTGTGTTGTTTTGTTGCAAAAACGTAATCTGAGCTGCTTGCGGCACTGGAAGATTGGTGGTGTGCGCTATTTTTTCTGAAACCCTTGGAACGCTTCTGCAAACTATTCCCCGGGACCTCGCGCAAGTTAACACCCCAAGATGGACTTACGCCTAGCAGGTTCGCGTTTTGGGGTAGCGAACTGGTTTACATTCTGTTGTCAACAAGTGGAACCCTGGACGATTTTTCCATTTCTCCGAGCCCAATGTCGCGCGGAAAACCACGACCCGTGGCCGTCACGCGTTTGAGGGTTTGGTCAGTACCGATCCAAACATCAGCAGAGTTGACAAAAACCCAGCAACAGAGCATGCATCAACAGCGGCAACACAAAACTCAAGTCACTTCTTGCCGCAGGCCGAAGTCGTCGGATCTTTACGCGGAAAGACAAACGCCCGAGAGACTTGGAGCCTTTCGGGGCATCCCGGGTTCCACTTCGTTTTTTCTCCAACAACTGAAAGCTTTGGGGTCGCCCAAATCGGCTCCGGGGTGGTCCGGTTCTACCAGGTTTTGCAACGGCTGCAGGGTGGTGCGAGCACTAAAAACAGAGCACCGCATGCTGTTGGGGATATCACCTGAGCTTATTTTTTAAACGGCAGCCGCCCACCTTCAGGGGTTTCCTGTTCGCGCGTGTTTTACCGTCTTTTTTTTTTGGGGGGGTTGGAGCCTTTGGGTTTCCGGGGCTGCGGGGCTGCGAGGTTCTCTGGGTCCGTGAGCCTCGAGAAGTGGAACGGCAACCGCTGGG